TGCTAAATGTCAGAAAACTTAGCAAGAACATTTTTTCTTTTCTTTTTGAATATTTATTATTCCTTATTGCTCAACTGATTATTGAAGAGTGTAATTGAAATAAAGGTGTAATAAAGATGACTTTGGATTTGTGAAATTGGGGGGATTTTTTTGTGTAAAATTTGAATTTTGATATTTCCAAACATAACAGTTTGTTATATTTCAGTTTACGTCATCCCTGCTGTAGAACGTTGAATACTATCAGAATACATTATTAATAACAGTAATAAAAAATATTATATAATAATGAATTGAATCTGTTTTTAACTCCACAGTGAGGCTGGAAAGGTTTGTAAACTTACCTTGAAAAGTGCTTGAATTTTACTGTGGCAAAAGTGTAGAAATCCTGTATAAATAGTTTTTTCTGCTCTTATTAGTTTGTTGTTTTATTTTATGATCACTTAGGATCTGTTTCTTTCTCAGTATCCTTTTTTGCTCTTTCCAATAGGAGCATGTTTACTATATTTCTGCTTTCATGATTTTAATTTTGTACAATACCAAATTTTATGAATTTGTGTTCATTTCAGGTCTTTCTCCAAATAAAGCTGACAAACCTAAACTTTTTTTATTTATTTCGTGCTCAGATCTGAGCTCACGGTTCGAGTGGCGTGTCTGAAGCGGAGCTGGTCCGATTCTGTGGCTCTCGCTGCGCACAACTGGACCTCAACAAAGGAGCATCTGCAGCAGTGGAGAATTTACCAACATGGTTTGAAATCCCTGAAGAAGCTGTTTAGAGAGGTGGACTCTCTCCTGCCCCCTAGTGGACCGGATCTTCACACGGTGCAGCAGCTGCAGAACGTTTCCGAGGTCAGTTGCAGATCAATATCAAATGTATTATTTTAATTATTTCATGTGCTAATTACATTTTTTGTCATTTTCCTGTTTTTTTAAAGTTTATTGAAGAATCTCTAGGTCTGCACTCCTCTGTCTACGCCCGGACTGTTGAAGCTGGGAAACATTTGTGTGAAATCGTTACAGAGTCAGAGAGTCGAACCCAACTGCAGTCAGAACTTCAGGATTTGCAGAAAGTCTGGGAGCGAACCACCTTACTGCAAAGAAAGAATAAAGATCTGCTTAATAACACTGTCCAGGTAAAATCCTGTGCTTTTTATCTGCAACATTTTCACATCTGATTTTTAGAAAATGGGATACACTCAAAGCAAAACATGGAAAATAATTTCAAAGTTTCGTTTTTGATATTTGTTTTTGTACACTGATTGATTTTTCTTCCCGTTAAAAAGGAGTTTTACTTTCCACTGCTGCCACATGCATGCTTACTTTGAGAAACTCTTGCAACATTAACAACTAAATACAAATACCAATAATAGGAGATTCTATCTTTAAGAATGAAAAACTTTCTACCATGAGGGATCATTTATTTATATCAATCAATCAATCAATCAAATTTTATTTGTATAGCACATTTCAGCAGCGAGGCATTTCAAGGTGCTTTGCATAATTAAAGAAGAAATAAAAACAGTATGTGACATTAATAAATAGATGAAAAGTAAAGATAAAAACATATCTTTAATGTATTAAAAGAGAGACTACGTGTATTTGAGAGTAAAGAGTTTTAAAATGTTACATTTTCATAGTTAGCAATGCAGAAATATTGGTTTCTAAGAATCTTAACTGAGATTTTAAAAAGCTGGAAAATATTTTCAGTGGCAGATTGAAAGCTGGAAAAGAATAAAACAGCAATAAAAATCTGTTTAAATGCTTATTTTGAGAAGTGATCATTTAAATCAGGTGAGATGAATTTTATTTCAGGAGTTTTGGGGTAAAACTTATTTAGAGACAAGCAATTTTTTTTATCTTAAACGCTAAATAATGGCTTTCAGCAAATGGCCTTTTAAAAAAATCTGTATGTCCCAGTTAACGATTAATCGATTACTAAATTAGTGGATGATTATTTCAATAATCGATTAATCGCGATTCGATTCAGTCCAAGTTCTATAACAGATTTAATGCGATGGTTGCAGGTTTTAGAACAACAAAATGTAAAAAGGAAAATGTGCTGTAGTGGGGATTGTGTGACCTTAATCCGGGACATGATCTCACACACACACACACACACACACACACGCACACACACACACACACACACACAGACTGCACAGCCCTGATCTCCTGCCAAGGGAGATCAAATCTCTTTCTGATCCACATCCTGAAACAGCTGGTTACCAGTGTCATTCCATCACAGCGACGCAGCTTTGTGCTGGGAGACCCTCATCAGCATAAATCTAGAAAAGGGGTGTTCAAAGTGAGGCGCAGGGGCCATTTGTGGCCGCTGCACTGATCTTGTGCGGCCCTCATGACCAGAATTCAAAAATAGGTTAGGGCAAAATCATGACTATTAAATTAAAATCTACTTACAGAAATGTTAGCTACAACACAAAGTGGTCATCTTTTCCAAGCCTTCTGGTTTTCTGTTGTTGTCATGGTAACTAGGGCCACATCTACTCATTGACTTATGCTCTAAAGTACATCTTGGTGCACCCAAATCTGCTTTTATTTGCTGTATTCAAACATTTTTGAATGTGTTTTCAAATGAAGACTGACCTGGATCGTGTTTTTATTCGGAACAGACAAATTATTTTTCTTCAAAATTGAGAAATTAACAAGAAAAATGTGCAAAAACAATTTGAAGTTTTGGATCTACAATCCCATTCCTACAAAAAATAAATCTGATTATTTATTCAATTGAAAAGATTTATGCTTAGTTGTTGTTAAGTAGGTAAAAGAAATCACAATATTTTTGGTGATTTTAGTTTTTAAATTTATATATTTTTTGTACTTCTGAGGTGACAATTTGGCCCACATGACATAAAATTTGGACACCCCTGATCTAGAATGTTCCTCTGCATGATCTTGTTTTGATAACTTTAATGCAAGCATAGCTTACTTTTGCTGATATCTAGTTAGATCTTTATAATTAGTGATTAATTAACCCGAATATCTGCAGATTTTTAGTGGCAGTGGTCAGAAAAAGTTGTGCTTTTACCACTTTAAGATGATCAGATGCAGGAAACGGCAACATGTTTAAGAAATAATCGCAACCTAGGAAACAAGGCCGACTTATCCTGTCTTACTACAGGCTCTGGCTCTGTTCTTCTGATTATATATAATCCCCTGTAGATAAAGAGGCTGTGACTTCCTGTTCAGTGTTCTGTTTGCATTTGAAAAAGGAATCGTTTTCGCCCACTGTTTCGTTTTCTACCTATTGGACACATTTATTTAACCTTGTGAGGTATAAACATTGTAAAATCAAAGGGTTGATGAGGATTTTTTCAATGTTTTACTTCACAGATGCGGTCTCAGAATCAGGAAGCAGCAAGCAGCATCTCCTCTGGACTGGAGAAAGTTGACAATCTGCTTGCAGAAAGACCGGCGGACTCAGAGGAGGAGGCGCACATCCAGGTGAACAACTGACTCCACTTGACTCTTTTAATGGAAAACTAATTGAAAGCATTACATCTTTTTCCTCCTACTTGACAGTTTTGTGCTGCTTCATAATTTATCACATAAAATTCAGATAAGACACTGTTTTGATTTGAAAGTAGGGATATTTTAGAATGCGCGGTAGGTATGAAATTGATATTTGCCTCATCTGTCTTTTTAAATTCAATATAATAATATGACGCAACAAAGTAACCTCTGTAAATTTTACAGAAAGTAATAAACAAATAATTGGAGAGAAAGTAGGAGAGTCTGTTATGTACAAGGGGGGAATTTTACCAGGCGGTGTTTCTGCAGAAAACGAATTAATAAAAAAAAAAATCTTCCCAGAATTTAAGTGTGGATTTCCGGGTAATGACATATTGCCAAAATTTCAACATTTGTTTCTCATTTTCTTGAATCCATTTGTTGTATCTACGTTTTCAGGATTTCCAAATAAAAATTTTAAAGGAGATCTATTACACAAAACTCACAATTTGCACATTTTTGTACTTTCATTAGCTACTAAAAACGGGCCAAGAAAATCCACCCAGCTGTTTATTATTTAAAAAAAAAAAAAAAAAAGTTTTTTAGTGTCTGGAAAATGAGCTGATTGAAAAATGTTCCAAATGTAACATCACAAATCAGCAGGCACTGCCCTGTTACCTAGTAACCCAAGCAAAGCCCAGCAACCCATGCGGACCTCCAGCATGTTTGGTCAGCTGATTTTACCTCTGAATGCGTTGTACAATGGCTGCTGGAACAGAGAAGTGTTTTGTTGTTGACTTAACATCCAGAAACCACTTGCTGCATTCTTGTTGGGTTGTGCAGGAGGCTCCACTTCTGGTTTTCAAAGACGTACGGTTACATAATTGCGCATCTGTTTTCGCCCTTTTTCATGTGGGAGTGTAAACATTAAGTTGGGGGTGTGGCCATCAGCTGCTTCTATGGATTTAAAGTGACAAGACGCCCTAAAACAGATCAAAATAGGCAGAACTGAGACTAAAATCATTATCAAAGAATAATTTCAATGAACATGTAGATCTATGCTAAAGGAAGTGTAGTAGGTCACTTTTAATTTATGAGAAGCTCCCCACTACAGAGCCTTCCAGTTAGCCCCCCTTCCTCTTATTTAATGCACTGATGCTTTCACTCCCCTCCCCCTTTATTACCCCTTCTGCCCTCCCCCTGTCCCGTCCACAGCCCTTTAATCTGGATAGTCAGTGCAAACCCAAGCGAGAGGTAAAGCAGCAGCAGCAGCTTGCATGGCCGCCTGCTGACCGTGCTGCATGATTCTGTGTGTGTTATGCAGGAGGCTGAGCTCTCTCTGCAGTGTTTGGCCGGCGGACTGAGGGAACTGGCCACCATGAAGACAGACCTGTCCCAGTACGTGGCGGCCAGTGACTCGGCGCTGCTGGAGCAGCAGCTGGAAATGCTCCACGCTCAGTGGGAAGAGCTGTGCACCAAGGTGAGAACCAAACTAAAAGTTTTTACAGATAGTTCCAGGTGGGTGAAGATGAGCTGGGAGGGGAAGGAGGGAAGAAGTTTCTGGTTTCTTGATGGCTGCACAAAGACAGGAGAACACACACACACACACACACACACACACACACACACACACACACACACGTTGGTCACACTGAAAGAGTCGAAGTGTGCTGCTTCTTGGAGGGAAACCAGCAGCTTACTTTGTAACAGTTTAGCTTCTGTAAAGGAACCAGTTTCTCCTTACAAATATGGTTAATATTAATTATAAATATAAATCTCCCTCATTGTGTCAGCATGTGAGAATATTTACTCCCTGATTCAAGCTGTCCATCATTCCAGCTTGCTAACTTTGTGTTTAGAATATTATTTTTGGTGACTCCACACATTCCTACACATGTTTGGTCTTTAGAAACCAATGGTTAGTTAGCATGTTAGCCGGTTATAAAGCTACTTACCATGAGGTAATTCATGCTAGTGCTAATTTGGCTTTCAGTTAGCGAAGTTGCTTTGACCTGCTCTCCTGTTGGCTGAAGGTTTTCAGATTCAGCAGCAGGAAATGTTTTAACTTCTTTCTGATGATGAATTGATTTGAGTTTTTTTGGCTTTAAATGTGAATATAAATTCCTAAAATGCGCATTTTTGGTCAAAATACCCAGAAGTAGTGGGTAGTAACTAGTTACATTCACCTGAGTAACTTTTTTGAAAAAAATTAGTAGTGGAACTATTTTTACTATGCTGTACGTTACTTTTACTTGAGTAATTTTACTATGAAGTATTTCTACTCTTAGTTGAGTAAATTTTCTGGATTTTCTGCCCACTGAATGAAAAACAAACATGTTTTAACCAAAAATCCACCAAACAGACTCACCTGCAGTTTTTAAAGTTTCATTATATTTAAGCCTGCCGCAATAATCAATTAATTCTATGATAGGTTATAATAAGTTTGATAATTTCCATTTAGGGCAGTTTTGTTTACAGAGAAATCATAATCTGTTTTATTTATGGTTTTGGTTTAGTTTGTTTTCATTGATTGTTTTTTGTTTTATTTTGAAAATTCAAAATGTCTTCCAGTTCCAGTGTGCAGCATTTTATACAAAATGAAAGTTTAAATTTATAAATTAAAGTTGATGAAACTCATCATTAGACGGCAGACTTGCATTATTGCACCATTATTGTATTGGTTGATTGGTAAAATGTTTTATAGTCTGTTTTTTATGTAAATTATTTTCATTTAGTCCTTAAAATATCAACAATTTCCACTTATTTTTATATTTTGGTCTATCTGATTATGTAATTTTTAAATATTAAATGATTGAATCTGGTCAGTTATTCAGTACGTTAGTAGCTCTTTTTTAAATGCTTTTTTTATTCTTGAACACAGGTGTCAAACTCGAGGCCTGTGTGCCAAATCCGGCCCGCCATAACTTTTTATGTGGCCCTTTAGATTCAAGACTAAACACTGAATGAGCTTAATAATATTATGTTATTGATCGAATCAATGGAGTTTTTATCTGTTTACTGCCAAATTATATCAATCAGTCCCTCCAGTTTATTGAGAATTTTTATGGAATTTATTGGAGTTTATTGCAGATTTTTCTCAAAAATTGTCAAAAACTTTATTCCTTGCACTAAACAGCTGCCTCAGCTTTAATTGTTATGGCCCTTTAAGTTCATGATCTATACAGCGAGTTATAAAAAGTCACATTTACCGCCATAAATAAGCTCAAATGTTTCCAGATTAGAACCACAAACACTGTGATTTTATTGCAAAAAAAAGAATCACAAAATCCTGGAGGGACTGAAAAGATGTTCAATAATATTTAATTTTAAGAATTGATTGATCATTGATCAGGTTTTATCAATACATTCTGGCACAACCGGCCCTTTAAGAGCTTTTATGATCTTAATTTGCCCCATAACAAAAATGAGCCAGACACCTCTAACGCTTACTTTTCACTTTTACTTGAGTAAAAATATGTTGAAGTAGTGCTAATTGTTGGCTGATGGGTTCAAATATTTCAATCTTTTTTTAGCTCCAAACTGTAGGGTTTGTGAAGTCGTGCTACTTATTAAGTCACCAGCATATTAAAAACAAACAACTTATCGAATTTCTTCATGACATGCAGTCACGAGTCTGTGGTTAACAGGTTGCAGGTTTTGTAGGTGGGGGTTTGGCGAGCAGATGGCCTGGCCGGCCTAAGGGAGGAGCAGGGACTTGCTCTATTGTTCCCAAGGCGACACTCGGTCCTCACAGGGTGACCACAGCGCTCAATGCATCCCCGATTCTTCACACTGCAGCAGGACCATCTGCCTCTGTGCATTAATACCAAAGCAGGGCTCTTCTTAATAGCAAAAATGTTGATGACCAGTCAAATAGAGCAGCTCTAATCATAAGCCCTGAAACATCTAAAAGATCATCTGCCCCCTGCGCGGGTTTGTAATGGGCTGTTCTGCTGGTATTAAGCTGTCATTAGGAAAATGGACCTTGTTAATTTGAGCGAATAGCTCCACTCTCATGAGGGCTTCTGTCAATTCAGTTGATTACTAAATCAGAGTAAAAATCACTGAGTACATGTGAGCACATTTAATGTTCTGATTCTGGGTTATTTTTTCACAGCTCAATGCTTGGATTTCTAATGCTTTGTCCGTGCATTATATTTGGGTCACTTTGTTTCCTGAATGCATACCAATGTATCACAACAAAGTGTCCCGCTGCAGACTCAGACTCATCGAGGTCTTTGGCACCGCTCCTTTCACCATAACGTCATGGTGCCTGTAACTAGTACAGACACCTCTGTACTGGTTTGGGGGAAATAAATGTAAAATACCGTATTTTATGATCTAAATATGTGGTTTTCCTCTTTTAAGGAGAATATACACTGAACCCCATTGAAAACCTCCTGGTTATTCCACTAAATGTTGATTTCTAAACTATTACAGAGTTAAAACATTAGTGTTGTTCTAAATTATTATAAACTTGCTTTCTTTGCATTATTTGAGGTCTGAAAGCTCTGCTTCTTTTTCCTTATTTTGATCATTGCTCATTTTCTGCAAATAAATACAAAATAAGTTTTTGCTTGTAATTTCAGAGACATGTTGTCAGTAGTTCAGAGAATAAAAGAACCATGTTAATTTTACTCAAACATAAACCTACAAAGAGTAAAATCAGAAAAACTGATCATTTTAAGTGGTGTCTTACTTTCCAGAGCTTTAAGATTGTTAATCCTGATTGGTGCACTCTAAAACTCATCCAGTTGTCTTTAATGAGTTGAATCCAGTTTTTAAATTTGGAAAATAATTTCCTGTGAGTGTTTTTAGGTGTTTATGAGCTTTAAAATACAAACAAAAAAAGATGGGAAAATATGCATATTTGGAATTCACTGTTGACAGTATAAGTTGTCCAGTGTAGAAAAATAAAAAGATTATTGACTTTCTTTGTAAGAAACTAATTTCTTATTTAAAGCTGGCATTTAACAAACTGCTCACCAAACACTAAATGTCGTTATCGTATTTCCGCCAGGTGTCGTTACGCAGACAGGAAATAGCCGACCGCCTGAATGCCTGGACCATTTTCAATGATAAAAACAAAGAGTTCTGTGATTGGCTGACTCAGATGGAGAACAAGGTGTGCCACAGCGCGGAGCTGAGCATCGAGGAAATGGTGGAGAAACTAAAAAAGGTATGAAGTCATGGCGATTTTATACCGTCGTTGTTTGCACTTTTTTCATCAAAAGAACCTCAGATATGATACAGAAACCTTGAATTTGATTACAGTGTCTTCATTAAAAACACATGAAGCCAAGTGGTAGGTAAATTGTAGAATATATTAAGCAGATTAAATGAACTTTAATTTAACAACTTTTATTCCTTAAAAGTTAATTTTTTTGTCTGTTTGCAATGTGAAATTTCCTGAGGTGATCCTGAAAAGTTGACCCGCTTTTGTAAAAATGTAAACGGAATAAGTTCTAAATGTAAATACTGTTTATAATAATATCGTTTTGTTGCAAGTCTGATAAGTTTCCCTGTTGCAGCTGAAGAAAAGCACTGCAAAAACACAAAATCCTTCCAAGTCTTTTTGGTCTGATTTCTAGTACAAACATCTTAGAAAACTTGAAATAAAACAAAATTAAGTGACTTGGTAGGAAAATATAGGAGCTTGTTTTAAGTAAATAATTCCTTAATAATGATGTAAAAGTTCCACTGGCGACGTTACCTAGCAACGCCAGCCAGGCCCAGCCTGTTGCCTAGCAACCCAGTTCTAATTCCACTGGCAGATTATTTTACTAATAACATTTTTATGAGTTTGAAAACATTTCTTCGTTGTGCCTGCTGCTAGCATGTGCTTGTTCTAAATGAAAATTAGCACTTTCTTCTTTGATGTCCAATTTTGACTTCCAATGATTCACTTCCTGCTAAAGAGCCCCCTGGTGGTGGATTTAAAATCAACAGAAAAAAACCGCACTGGGCCGTATGGTTCAAAGCATGGGGAAAGTAGCGGCTTATAGTCCGAAAAATACGGTCTCTATCTATTTAAACCTGCCTGCATCATCATGGTGTTCATGTAGCTGTGTGGTCATGTGTCCACAGGACTGCATGGAGGAAATCAACCTGTTCAGTGAGAACAAGAGCCACCTGAAGCAGCTGGGAGAGCAGCTGCTGTTGGCCAGTGACCAGGCCAAGCAGACCCAGGTGCGCGGCTCGCTACAGGAAGTCAATCAGCGATGGAACAACCTCTTTCAGCACATCGAAGCCAGGTGAGAGCTGTCGCAGCGTCTGCTCAGCGGGAGTTTAGGTGTTTATATTAACCAAGCACTTCCCAAAACACTCTTCATGCCGTTCTGTGAGCACTTTGCAGAGATAAATAGTAAGGTGTTGGCAGGGTTGCAAGTCAAATTGTGTTTGTGTGGCGACATGAATCAGATTCTCAAGTACCGCTCTCAAAATTTACATCATTATCTTGTCAGAACAAACACCTTTCAGGGCAAAGCCACACTGCTGCAAAAAGCATAATTAAGTTCTGTGAAGCTTTGACTACATTCTTGGAAGTAAACAATAGCTTCTAAGGGTTTCCATCCACCTGCTGCTGTAAGCCGTGCCTAGCAGCTGTCGGGAAAACATAGCCTCTCATCTATGGACTGTGGAGGTTAAGCTCCTGTGTTGTTAAACTGTTGCTACCCCCCGTCAAACAGATGGGCAATCCTGTGGACGAGCAGGAGATACAAACCCCAGCTTCCCCCTCTGCCAGAAGCAGGGGGTAGTTTGGGCCGTCGGAGGGCTCAGACAGGACCAGATGTCCCCCGGTGCGCTCTGACCGGGCCCACTTCCTGTCACCCAGCGGTGTCAAACTCATCTTCGTTTTGGGCCAAATCCAGATCATGAATGCTCTTACAGGGCCGAATGTATTGATAAAACTTGTTCACAAACTGTTAAAATATCAATGAATCGTTAAAATTAAACATTCCTGAACATATTTTCAGTTCCTCAAGGATTTCGTGATTCTTTTTGTGTTTTTTCCAATAAAAGTCAGTGTTTGTGGTTCTTATTTAGAAATATTTGCGGTAAATGAGACTTTTTATTACTCTCTGTATAGATCATGGACTATAATCTGAGATCAGTTAAAGCTGAGGCAGCTGTTTAGTACAAGTAAGAAAGTTTTTGACAATTTTTGAGAAAAATCAGAAATAAACTTCCAATTATGTATTGGCACAAAAAGCTACAGGGATTTGTTGATTTTGTGTAAATTTCCACAATAATTCTCAAACTGGAGGGACTGATTGATATAATTTGGCAGTAAAAAGATAAAAACTGCATTGATTTGACTGTTGAGGTTCAAAGTTGTTGTTTTAGAAAAATATGGCCGTGTTCCTGAAGGTCTCCATGTTATTTCGCTTTATTACTTTTGCGTGCTTCCTGTGAAGAGCTCAGATAGGACGGCGTTTACAGTCATACAGCTACTGCTAATGTTTTCTTAAATTAAGCACTTAGTGAAAAGTTTAGCCCTTCATGTTATGGAAAGACAGTTGGTACAAGAGAAAACTTCGGTTTTTAAGAAAATGGCGGCTTATAAATGAATTGTTAAGATCAATCAACTTTAGATAAAACTGAGCTCAGCTTTCAATCAAACCAAGATATGCAGTTAAACAAGAATTGCCTCATAATTAAATGGTGGGCAGCAGCTTTTTCAGGTTGGTTAATGAGTAAAATCATAATTTAAAAGCTGCTTTTTAAAGTGCATATAAAAAAATCAAGAACAGACCAGCGTGTTTTCATTGCTCTGTATGTTTTAATGCTGAAAAAGAAGTCCTTACAGTCACATCAGCATGGTTTATTATGGTAATAACTCTGAAGTACTGAGGGACCGGGTGGTAAATTTGCAGCTAAAGTTGGCAAACATCCTCTTGAGGGAGAAGAAAGAAACAAGATTTGTTTCCACGACTCTTTTTAATTTTGCTGGCTGTAGTTAATTTCGGTGCAAGCGATATAAATTGAACAAAGCAGATTTTCGCTGAACAGCTCCATAAATACAGTGAGAGGAATAAATGTCAGCCGGAGTTTTATCTCTTTGTAACTTCGGGCCCTCCTATGGTCAGCTGCACTTTGTTATCTCAGCTCTCAAGCCATATATCCTCATCCTCGGCTCTTTTCTGCTTCATTTTCTCCATCCATTCTGTTCATGTCCTCTTCCTGAACGAGCCCCTGCCCGGCTTTTTCTGTCTTTGTCTGGTCTCCGCATGAAGCTGCCGGCCTTTGTTAGGCTGTCAGAGGTGGAGAGGGAGGTGGAGGGAGAAAGAGGCTTGTTAGTTGAGCAGGATGGTTGCATCTGCAGCAGTACTCCAATAACTTACACCGACTGTGTTGGGGATTAGATGCATCACTGCACCCCCCCGATCCTTCCTGTTAATAGTCATTAGTCCCATACATCATAAAACAACCACTTAATCGCTGGGTTTCAGACACGTGGCCCGGATGAAGCGCAAAATTCAGGTGGGGGTCAGGAAGTGGATTTCTCCGGTTCAAAACGGAGCGAAATGGATCACAGCGAGTAGCTAATGCCCTAAATGGGCTGGACCTGATGAGGCATCCACTTTGTCTCAGTAAAAAATGACTTCTCTTACAATGTTGAGGCGATCGACATTACTAACTGTCTGGAGCTGCAGACCTCAGATTACACGACGAGCCAGAAGAAAGTTTTAAAAAGCCTGGAGAATGCGGTCATTTAGTTTCAGGTTGGGTCAAATTTAGGATCAAAAGAAGCATTAAATGGCTGTCGACTTGTTTCTGCCGGGTGAGTAACGAGTTGAGCTATTTTAAGTAATTAGTCTATGATAACAATGCTACTGCTAACAACAACAAGCTAACCCATGTTATTTCTAAGTGTTTGGATCAACTTGCAAATTTATTTATCCAAATTCATGCTGGAGTTGTATGTTAATGTTGAGTCGTTCTGCATTTCTACAATGTAGGTCAACCATTCGGTTCTGCAGAAACCCCATTAAAACTTGGTTTGACCAAAAATAATACATCTTACTTTACATGTGACGGCTGCTTGTCTTTCTCAGTAACTGTCCAATAAAATATCATTTTAATTTAAACGATGCGATCGTTACCTCTTAGAAAGCGGAAACTCTGGCATTGTTGGTTTCTGCACCTCCTGTTTTTAGCTGCAGATTGTTGACACACTTTTCTCATAATTTCTCAGTAAGTTTTTAAAAATTAACTCCCTTGTGACCACGAAAATTATAACGGTTGTACCAACCGTACAGGCCTCAGACTCTTTGATGGTGGATCAACAGAAGTAGACGGGCTGCATTTACTTCCTGACCTCCATCTGCGCTACGTGACGTCGGTGCTACGTCACCTGAAACCCAGCAGTAGAATAAGAGTTACTCAATTAAGTAGCACTACAAGGGTAAGAATTTAATTTTAACCATTTTTTTTATTGAAGCTGTTAAAATGCTTAGAAGTGGTTAAAAGCCCTTAGCATGTCTTCATTTTAGGTCCTTATTATTTACTTTAATTAATCTTTACTAAAACTCTGCAACTCTGACTTTGTTTTGAACTCTCACACCAAAGCCAGTGGAAAATGTCAACATTTTTGATCTGCTGGTCAGGAATGTCTGGAAAACCCTGGCATTTTTTAATCTCCTTAAATTGTTTTCTTGATTTGGATTAGTTTGGAAAATCCCAGTTTCTATTTAAATGCTGAATCAAACTCTCTGTCTTTCTTTTACCACTACATAAATTTTACTTTATTATGATCCATTTTGGCCATAGGAAAAAACTAGACAAAGCTCCTCAATGTTGGGCTTTACAGGAGTCTTAGTGTCTTCGTGAAAACACATTAGGACTGTGATGTCTTCGTGTTTTTAGATCTGAAGCTCACATTACTCGCATAGGAAGTTGGGACTCTGTGGTTTGTTCTTCTGTCCGACGTTCTGCAGAAAGCGCCTCTCCGCCCGGCTGGACGTCCGCAGGAGAAAACGATCAAATGGGGGGAATTAACTCAAACTCCAAAAACTGGGCACACTTCAGCCTTTTAAGCCTCCAGAGAGCTTTTATTGTCCTGCCCGTTACCATGACAACGGCTAGTGTGGCGCGTTGCGTGTTGAAGTGAAAGATACCAGAGAAGTTTCTCTTTGCAAAAAGCTTTCTCTCTTTTTCACCAGTATGTTATTTTTTTATTTTCCTTTCATTTCGAATTATTTTATTTTTTTATTCTTTTTTTCTAGTTTAGTTTTTCTTTTTCTGTTATTCAGTTTTTTTTCTTTTCCTACTGTGTTTTCCTTCACCTTCTGTTAGCCTTTTTTAATGCTCTCTTTCTTTCTTTCTTCATTTCTTTTATTTTTTCCTCCTTTCTTTCTATCTTTCTTTTGTCTTCCTTTGTTTCTTTCTTTCCTTCTTTCTTTCATCTTCCTTTCTTTCTTTCTTGCTTTGTTTTTCTTATTTGATTTTCTTTTATTTTCTTCCTCTTCATCTCTTTCTTTCTTTTTCTTTTCCCATTTGTCTTTACTTGAGTTTCTATTGTTAGCTCATTTATTCTTTGATCTTTACTTTCTTGCCTTTTTTCCTTTTTCAGTATTTTTCTCTTGTTTCTGTTTGATTTTATTAATTTTATTACTTTTGTTTCTTTTTTTCTGGCCTACTACTTTCTTAAAAATATTTCAGAATATTTTCATTTCCAGAAAAAGCATCAAAGAATCAAATGCTCTCTGAACAGCTGCGTCTCTTTCTCCCTCTCATACCTTAATAAGTTAATTGAGTTTTGGTAACTCAGTCAAATGATGGTAAAAGGTTTGTTGAACATTAAAGTTACTGACTGGGTGTTTGTCTCTTCCTAACATCTTTTTAAGGGTGAGGAAGCTGAAGGAGACTCTGGTGACGCTGCAGCAGCTGGATAAGAACATGAGCAACCTTCGCTCCTGGCTTTCTCGTATCGAGGCCGAGCTTTCCCGGCCAATCACCTACAGCGTCTGTCATGAGAACGAGATCCAGAAGAGGCTCGCTGAACAGCAGGTAAATTACATCCACAGGTTATATTTAACTGTTTGGATTTTGTTTCACTTCCTAAATATATTATTTTCCCCTTTCATCTTTAGTATTAATATTTCTACATTTTCCCACATTTTGCTGCTCACTTTTTCTCTGTTTATCGTTAATAATTCTCACCTTTTGTTTGCTTAACGTTAGTTAACGTGGTGTTGTTGCTCTTCAGCTTTATTCTTTAATCCACGTGTCAAACTCGAGGCCCGGGGGCCAAATTTGGCCCGCCGTGGCTTTTTATGTGGCCCTCCACATTACATCAATAAGTCCCTCCAGTTTTCACAAATCTGTAGAAGTCACACAGAATCAACAAATCCCCACATTTTTTCTGATTTCTCAAAGTGAACAAAAACATGCTGCCTCAGCTTTACTCGATGTCAAGTTAAAGTCTGTGATTGATAAGGCGAGTAATAAAAAGACATACATTTGCACAAATGTCG